TAAATGATTGATTGATGCAATTATTCGATCAACATAACAACAAATCGGCCCAGTTGCTCAATTTCGCCATTGCCGAAATGCTTCATTCACTGTATAATCGAATGAAGATTTGAATAAAATTCACAGCAACACCAAAATCGACATCAAACTGATAAATCAGCATTATCATATCTAGTACCAACAATGAGTAAATTCTCGGGTGACAGACAGAAATCAACATATCGATAAACACTGATCTTATAACCCAACGATTGCAAGTATTCAGCACGACCCAATTCAAGCAAAACCTTTGCCATGCACCCTAAATTTTGTTTATCCTCTCGAGTCCATAACGACGATACGGATCCAATTTTGTTGCCTTCATATCCTGATGTTTTCATTTCTGAATCTATTGATTGACAAACCCCTTGTATCTCAACAGATACGTTGTCGTTACCGTCAGAAGTTTCCTGCAATTTCAAAGAATTTGGATATTAAATATAAAAAATTATACGCAATATTGAGAGTCGACAAAATGAAACGGACTCAAATATTCATCGCAGAACAATCGAGCGCTTTTCAACGGAACATTCCTTGAAGTAAGAAAATGATTATTACACTGCATAATATCTTTGTTATTATAATTAGCACCTTCATCTATTTATGATCAGTGAACCTGACAACGTTATACGATTGTTGTCACTGGTTTACAAAGTTCAAAAAATCTTTCATAATGATCACAACTAAAAACAGAACAAAACATAAGGCGGAATGCTCAGGAATAAACGAGAATATAAGCAATATTCTACCATCTCGTGTTCAATTTTGGTCATTCCACATACGGCCCATGTTGCAAAATAACGCAACAGGTTGAAATCACTCTCATCACTGATACCGTGTTTCTTTAGGAATTGCTTACCTGTATACTAAAAATTTGAATGAATCGCTTTATTGACAGATACTTTTAGGAAACACAAAATACACTCAAACCAAGCAATGTTCATTAAAATTTTTTTTTGAAAAGGGTATTATCTATAAAAGAAGAGAATTTATAGGAAGTTCATAGAAGCGATATGACCGAAAAGTCGCTGCATTGATTCAATTGTAATCATTCGTTTTTTCAGCCAATTATAAGTCCTAGTTGTTATGAGGAGCGTACATTTGTGTAGCTTAT